AGGCCTGAGTAGGGAGGACGAATCAGGCGGGAGACTAGTATGTGAGTGAATTGCGAGGAAGTCTCAGGCGGGAGCTTCCTCTCTAAGGGGCCCGCATTTCATATTCGAATCCGAGGCCAGTCATCGGCATCCTGTAATCGAATCCGAGGCGGAGGAAGAGCACCAGAAGCAGAGCGGGATGTGCAGTCAGTTGCTTCCTCAATGTTCTCACTTCTCAGATGCATTGGGCAACGATCTTCTCTGCCTTTTCTGCGTAAGTCGGGCGGGAGCCTCACCTGCGAGTGAGATGCGAGGAAGTCTCAGGCGGGAGCTCCCCCTCAAGGGGCCCGCACTGCATGTTCGAATCCGAGGTGGGTCATCGGAATCCTGTAACCGTCGTCGCTTTTGGGCTCCTCAGGCCTGAATATGGAGGAAGTATCAGGCGGGAGCCTCGTCGGTGAGTGCATTGTGAGGAAGTCTCAGCCTCGTCGTCATCGTCGTCGTCGATGTCGGGCCGGCTTTTTGATTTTGGCGTCTGGGGGCCGTCGGGGGCCCCGGGGCCATCGAACATTGACCCAGGACGAAAAACTGCGCCCGACACACTTCGGTGGAGGTCTGAGGACCGATTTTGAGGACCGAGGTCTGAGGAAGGGGTTTACGTTGAGGTTCGAACTCCTAAGTTCAAGAGTCGAGGTCCGAGGCTTTTCGGCCCCCAGGGCCCTCCTCGTCGCCACGGCTGGCGGAGAGGGAGAGGGAGAGCGAGGGGGGCGAGGAGGAGGAGGAGGAGGAGGAGGAAGAGGAGGAGGAGGAGGAGGAGGAAAGGGCAGAGCAGAGGGCGAGAGGAGGGTGTCTGCCAGGGCGAGGAGGAAAGGGCAAAGGGTAAGCTGAACATATTCTCATGTGGGGTCCTTCCGTCGGAGTAATTTTTTCAGAGTGGAACTCCTACTCGGGGGTCCTACACATCCCCTGGCATCCGGCTGGTACCGCACCTCCCGGCTTCTTGGGGAGACCCCAAGACGCCGAAGGACAGCCCATGACGACCCCAAGAAGCTCCCAGAACGTAAAGAACGGCCCAAGACGCTCCCAAGCAGTCCGCAACACCTTGTGGACGGCTCTCCACGCTCCCAGGAGACCTCCGAAAGGCCCCAAGAGAGGTCCGCGAGGCGTCCCGGGAAGGCCCGAAGAGGCCAAAATTATAGTTTTTGATGTTTTTTTGATGTTTTTGGCTTTCTCGCGTTCTCGAGCTTCCAACGGTCCAAGACCGCCCCAAGACCGCCCAAAAGACTCCCAGGACGGGTCCAAGACGGGCCAAGAAACTTTCCAAATTGCCGAAGAGGCGCCCGGTACCGCGCCCCCCTTTTTTTCAAAGTGGACTCCTACTCGGAGGTCCCGCACATCCCCTGACATCTGGCCGGTACTGCGCCTCCCGGCTTCCAGCCCCCCCCCCACATTTTTTTTTTTTGTTTTTTTTTTTTTTTCCCCCCCCCAAGTTTGGCCCTTGGTATACTCTTCCAGAATAGACCACAATTCAGGCCCCCCTCACCTCCCCAAAAAGAACCCAGGAAGGCTTTGAGGTCCCCAAATCGTTGAATATCTAATGGGAATTAATGATTTCTGCGTTTCCGCACTTCTTCTTCTTCTTCTTCTTCTATACGATTCCGAGGCTTGCGCAGGGCCTGCAAGGGAGTCCCTGGACGCACGAAGCGACCAACATGATATTACATGAGTTAGCCTATCAACCCTAGCTAGAACTTGAGCGCGCGCGAAGCGCGCGATGGTTCTAGTATCTCTCTCTCTCTCTCTCTCTATATATATATATTATTGAGTTTCTCATGCGATTTATCTCCCCTGGCGCGTCCCCTTGATGCGTCCATCCCGTTGCCGCCTCCCCCGCAGCCGCTTTGGCAAACAAGGGGTTTCTGGAGGTGGGTACCCGTATATCCCCCCCAGGCCGCAGCCCAGGCCATCCTCTCGTGGTGCGGGATGGCGGCCCGCAGACCAGGGCCTGGGCTCGCGGCGGCTCCGCCGCTGGGCCTGCCGCCACCGCGCCAGCCCGCCCCCCTTGATGTTCGGGGGCGGAGCGGCGCCAGGCGTGGGAGGCGCAGGCGCCAGCGGCGCGCTGGTGGGCCCCGCGGGCGGACTCCTGGGCGTGGGGCGGGCGAGGCCGCGGGCGGCTTCGCAGCCATGCCCCCTGGCGTGGGCGGGATGCTGCCCCCGCCTCCGCCCCGACTCGCCAGGGCCGCAGCGGCCGCAAGAGCTGGTGGCGCAGGCGATGCTGCAGGCGCAGCAGGAGGCGGCGCCGCGCGGGCCGCCAAGCCTGCGATGGGCGGCATTGGCAAGCCTGCAGGAAGGCGCGGCGCCGTCAAGAGAGGAGCTGCTGGCGCGGCCGCGTGGCGCGGATCTGGCCGCGGCAAGGCGCGAGGGGCTCCCGCGGCCGTGGCTGGCGCCGCGGCCGTCGCGGGTGGCGCGGCAGGCGTGGCCCCAGGGCTGCTTGGAGTCGGCGTGCTCGGCGGCCTTCCTGGTGCCGCTGGAGGTGGCGCAGCTCCTCTTGCGAGCTCGCTGCCGCCTGCTCCCATCGCGGGGTGCCCCGCAGGCGGTTGGGGTGCACCGCCGTGGGGCGCTGCGGGCGGAGCTGGGCAGCTTGGCTTGGCCAGAGGTTTCCCCAGCGGGGCGGCGGTTGGAGGCTTGCTCGGGGGGCCCGCAGGCCTGCCTCCGTACGGCGGAGCCTTCGGCTTGTCCGCACTGGCGGCACCCGCAGGGTGCGGAGGAGGTCCTGGCCCGTGGAGCATGGATCTACCTCCCGCTGGCTCCCTACGCGCTGCAGCAGCTGCAGCTCCACCCGGGGGCCCTGCTGGAGGTCGTCATGTACGCTGCGCGGGGCCAGCCCAACGGCACCGCCGAGTTCGGGGACTCTTTGTTATGGGGCTCTCGGTCTTGCATTTGTGCGCCAGGCAGTGGGGACCTGCCACCTCGCCACCAAGTGGCCCAACCGCAACGTGATGCACTCGGACACGGTGAGAGTGAAGGCTGCCACTGGAGCGGGGTTGGGCGCCCCCGCTGCGGCCGCCTTGGTCGACGGTGCCGCCGCTGGAGGCGGCGCCAGAGGACCTCCTGCAGGTGAGGGCGGCGCCGCGGCAGGCGCGGGCCCCGCAGGAGGCGGCGCTGGCGGACCAGTGGCGGCTGAGGGCTATGGCGGCAGAGGCAACGGCGCACGCGGCGAGGATCAGCTCAGGAGGGCGATCCAGGATTTGCGTGAGAGGCTCAGGCGTAAGCGTTCGATGGGGGAGTCCCTCGCCGAGAGAGCTGATGCTGCGCTGTGGAGGGCCAGCGGAGGCGCCGCCGCGGGGGCAAGAATCGGGGCCGCGACTCCTCCGATGAGTCGCTATTTGGCGAGGCCCCACCCGCTGGTTCTAGCCGCCGAGTACAGCGCCTCGCCCGCTCCGATCCAGGAGCTCTGATGGCGGCGGGTCTGAAGCAGATCCGCGAGTACTTGGCACAGCGGGGCGGGGCCGCAGACGACGACGAGCTGGACAGCCTGAGCGCGAACGTGGTGGAATACAGCACGAGCGCGTGGCACGGGGCCCATCCTCAGAGCGAGATGGGAGTTCGCTGAGGATGATAGGCGAGTGCCTGGGCGCCCTCACACGCGGCGAGCTGCCGCGCCTGGGCGACATGCTGACGCAGAGGCTGAAAGCCGTCGAGCAGGCGACCAATGACGGGCACTGGCAGGTGGCGCAGCACCTCGAGCTGGTGGGCTTCATGGACGTCGGGCTGGCCGGGCAGGCGGAGCTGGCGCCGGCCGCGGCGGCGCCTTCGGAGGGGGCCAAGTTGAGGGGGCGCCTCGGCATGGCAAGTGGCAAGGGCAAGTCCCTGTAGGGACTTGGCGGGGGAGAGGGCGGGAGCGCCGGGACGCCCCCCCCCATGGCGCCACCCCCGCCGAAGGGGCCTGGAGCTCAGGAAGTGGAGGAGTCGCCGAGGTCGACGGCGTCGCAGCGGAGGGCTCGCTGGCGCAAGGGCAGAGGCCGCGGCCACAGTGCAGCAGGGGCTGGCGCGGCTCGCGGCTCGAGCCCAGGACCGCCGAGGAGGTCCAGCCTGCGCCCTGGGCCAGGCGCCGCGAGCCCGCTGCGCCGCGCGGTGTTCGCCGAGCCCGTGGAGGGGCGCAGCCCGGCCAGGCGGTGCCCGCCAGGATCGCGGCGCCCGCGGTCCCGCGACATGGGCGGCCAGCCTGCGCGAGCCAAGGGCCGCGGCAAGGGCCCGGGCAAGGGCGAGCGACAGGGCGGCCGCAAGAACAAGCAGCAACATGCGTGACAGAGGAGGTGGAGCAGGGCAACCGCATTGACACCTCTGGAGGCAGCTGGGAGACTGAGATCACCAGCCCGTCAGCTTTTGACGAGATGGAGTGCAAAGAGGCTCGTGGCCATGCCTTCTCAGGCGACGGGCTGCCCGTAAGTCGCGCCTTTCCACGCCTCGGCGAACTGCGAGGTGCAGGTGTGTTCCGACGGCCTTGTGGGCCACAACTTCGTGAAGTTGGGCGCTGCGTGATGCGTCTTGGGACTGGCGCGCCACGTCGTGACTCTTTTCAGGCGGGGCCCGTGGCCTCTGACAGTGGTTATCAGCGTGGCGGCAGGCTATTACATGATTCGCTGGAGGCGAGGCCGTTGGCCTCAGTTCACGGACATTCCCCCGGTGGGCGGTCGGATCATCCCTTGACGCTGTCCGCGAGGAGCGGCCGTCGTGACTTGATGCCGCTGCCTTGCGCTCTCGTTCAGGTCTGCGACTTGAAGCTGGAGTTCGAACGGGGCCGCATCGTGAACATGGTGACCGTGGCGATGGAGGACGACATGAACGGGTGGCTCTACCTGGTGGCGCAGGCGCTGAACTTCCAGCACCGCCTGGGAGGCAAGCATCCTCTGTTGGAGGGGGGCAGCGCCCGCCGCTTCTTCGGCCCCGCCAGCCTGGTGCAGGTGGGGGCACTGCGGCACCTGGCGCGGAGTGTGTGCGCTTTCCGGGAGCAGTACAAGGGCATGTGCCGATGCTGGAGCGGGAGTCGGAGCTCAAGTCTTCGGCGGCCAGCTGCGCGGGCGAGGGGGTGTACGCCGCGGAGAGGCTCCACAGAGGGCGCCTGATGCTGGCCTGGCCGCCGAAGAACGCGTGCGGGTCGGTGCTGGCCACGGATGTGAGCGACGGTTGGATCCGAGGTGTTCTGGGGAACCCCGTGTGGATCCTCAGGAACCCTGAAGACCTGGACGGAGGACGCCGAGTGGGGGCTCATCGCCGCCGAGCTGGTGGACCGCGGGATCCTGGTGCCTATCGAGGAGGAGTGTATTGCGCAGGTGAGAGGGCGGCGCGTGCTGGGCGGCTTCTTTGGTCCACAAGTCAGGGCGCGGCAAGGGCCAGGGCCCCGCCGCCTCGTGATGAACATCTCCCTAGCAACTGGCTGCAGGAGACCATCGAGGGCGACGTGGGCCTCCTGCTGACGACGGACAAGTGGAAATGCCTCATTCTGGGGAATGGCGAGGTGCTCCTGACTTCGTCGGAGGACTTGAAGTGCTGCTTCCACGTGTATTGCCTGCCCGTGGTCTGGCACAGGTGCATGGCCGTGTCCAAGCCCGTCAGGCGCGCTGCGTTGGGCCTGGCTGGGAGTGGCAGCGTGTTCGTGGCGGCGGCGGCGACCCCCATGGGCTGGATCTCGGCGGCGAGGATCATCCAGCACATCCACATGGAGCTGTTGCGCGAGTGGGTCCTAGGTGTCGAGCCTCTGCCGATGGAGCAGGAGTTGCGACGCGACCTCCCTCTCCTCCTCATCGTGGGCTGGACGCGGGCCCCCCCGCTTCGGACCAGGCCTTGCTGGCAGAGCCGCGGGCTTCAGAGGGGGGGCCCGTGCGAAGGTAGGTTGGCCGGAGCTACGACGACGAGTACGTGCCCGTGTACGCTGGGCTCACAGGGCAGAGGTGCGGCCACTTCCCCTCCAAGTGGGCGAACCATTTCAGGGTCTCGCGAGGCTTGTCCAGGACATCGGCCGTCCTACAGTTCGAGGCCCACTTGAGGGGGGCTCCGCGCATGCTCAAGGATATTGGTGAGCTGTCGGGATGCTGTCTCATCTGTCACTGCAGGCCAGATCAGGTATGCCATGGTGATGTGCTGATCAAGGTCTGGAGGGAAGAGGCGAGGACAGCTGTGTGTGTGTGTGTGCCTTGTTCTACCCCTGCGTGTCCTCCTGCCTGGGTCGTCTGGCAGGTGTGCATCGACAACCTCGACCTCCTGGGGATCGCGGATGAGGTGGCGCTGGCAGCCCTTCAGAGTGCAGGGCCCCCTGAGGCTGTGCTTTTGGCCAGGGCGCGATGCGATGCCCGCGGCGCCCCTCGCGGCGGGGATAAGTCTGTGAGCCGCTCGCTGAAGAGCCAGGCCTCGGGGGAGCTCGTGGGCGGCGAGCTAGGTATGATTCGCCCCCCCCCCCCCCCCCCAACGACTTCACCTACAAGCTGGTGAGCCTGAGCCTCTTTTCGCTGGACCGCGAGAGGGTGGCGCAGAGGTGGTTGCAGGTGCTTGCAGGCCGCTGGGTGCGAGCTATGATGTTCCGCAGGGAGACGATGTCGGCCTTCGACCATCTGTGGCGAGCCGTGGTGCGCTGGAAAGGCGAGCGCCGCCTGCCTGGCCCCGTCTTCAGGGGGATCCGGATCGCGCTGGGGCTCTTGCCACTCATGAGGTGCGACCTGCGGTCTCCTGTCAGCGGCGTGATTGCGGTGTCGGATGCCAGTGAGCAGAAGGGTGCTGTGCGCCGAGCTGTGCGACCCCCCCCCCGCGGGGTTGCGGCCGCGCCAGCGGCTCGGGCTAAGCGCGGAGGCCGACTGCAGGATGAGGGCGTGCTGGAGCTGTTTTCTTTGGTCGACGGCATAGGTGGCATCGGGCGAGCTCTCGACATGCTGGGCTTGAGCGTTGCAGTGTGCGCCGCGTCCGAGACCGACGGGGGGCGTGCCGGGTGGTTCGGCATGCGTGGCCTGATGTGATGGGACTCGGCGGCTTGCAGCAGCCGGGGGAGAAGGACGTGAGGGGGATCCGAGATCGTGCTCCCCATGCGCGCTCGGTCATCCTCAGCGCAGGCGCCCCCTGCGTGGACCTGACTCGTCTCGCCGTGGACAGGTGCGAGCTGCGCGGCAAGCGGTCTGGCCTCTTCTTCGAGATCTTGCGCGTGCAGGCCTTGATGCGTCGTGTGTTCCCCGCCGAGGTGCAGCTGTTCAATTTGATCGAGAACGTATCTTCCATGGAGGCCCTGGATAGACAGGCCATGTCGCAGGCGCTGGGACTGCAACCCGTGTTGATCGAGGCGGCCGACATCTCGCATGCTTGGCGAGAGAGGTTGTGCTGGTGCGACTGGGGCCTGATGACTCAGTGGCAGGACGCTGTGAACGAGTCGGAGGAGGTCAGGAGGGTGGTGGTCCCAGGTGGTGCGGGCGATCTAAAGCGGTGGCTTCGCGCGGGCCGTCGCTGGTGTGGCGCAGAGTGCGAGGGGCAGAGGCTGCCGACCGACCTTAGTCCGTTGCATCCCGAGGGCGCGCGCGGGCTCTAAACCCAAGGGTTTGCACCGGTGTTCTGAGGAGGAGTTGGCGCGCTGGCGCGCCCGCGAGTACTGCTATGCCCCGTGCCAGTTCCGAGATGTTCACTGCTTGCGCTGGGATGGCGGTGATTTGGAGCCTGCGGATGCCTTTGGGCGGGAGATACTGATGGACTTACCCCCTGGTCACGCGGCGACGGCCATGGCGACCCGGTTCCGCAAGGCCCGCGGGCTGGAGGTGGTCCGTTGCGCCCTGCTGGGCAACTCCTTCCAGCGTGCCGTGGTGGTCTGGATCTTGGGGCACTGGGCGCACTGTCAGAAGTGCCTCGACGGCGTCCCGAGCGTGGAGCAGCTGCGGCAGCAGGGCGGCGGCTTCGACGCGTCCGAGGGCGTCGTGAGAATGGCGGCCGACGGTGACGGGGGCGTGCTGTTTCGCCACCGGGATCTGTGCGGCGGCGAAGCCCAGCAGGACATGAGCGTGCAGATGGTCGAGGAGATGGTCAGGCGCGCTGAAGTTCGAGGCTCGGATGTTCGTTTGGCTTCGCTGGAGGTGGTGCGCCCTGATCTGTGGCCTCGGAGGACCATCAGTGTGGCGCGCTGGACATGGGAGACGGTCCTGGTCTGGCGCTGGAAATTGAAGAGCCACATCACAGCGCTGGAGGTCCTCAGTGCGCTGGCTGCTCTACGTCGGAGATTCCGTGTATGACATCATCTGTACACGAGGTTTGCTCATCTCATGGACTCACAGGTGGGCATTGGTGTGATAACAAGATGGCGCTCTTCTTCCCATGTGCTCAATGCTGCTGTTAAGAGGATATCGGCCTTGGTTTTGGCGGCCTCAGCGCGACGAATCTACGGGTGCACCGAGGCAGAAAATAATCCCGCCGACGACCCCTCCAGAGGAGGCGGCACCACCTTGGCCGATCATGTCGCGTCGGGGGCGTATTGACTCCCAATGCGATCTGGTGGCCCGTGGTGGTGCGCGCAGAGCAATGGGGCAGTTTTCGCACACTTTAGTTCAGCCTCGTACCTTGCGGCGATATTACAGGATGGTGCTGGCTTTCACCTCGTGGGTTAAAGCTCACGGTGTAGCAGTGGCGTCTGATGTGGAGCAGCTTGACTTTCAATTTTGTGAATGGATTGAGTCGCTGTGGGCCGCTGGTCGGCCAGCTAGAGATGCGGGTTCGAAGGTCTCTGGCGTGCAGTTCTTCTTGCGTCGCAACCGTATTCTGCGTAGTTCTTGGAATCTGCTCAAAGCTTGGCAGAAGACGGGAACGCCTCAGCGGGTCACGCCGATGCCAGAGTACGTGCTGATGGCATTGGCGAGCGTGGCGCGCTCGTGGTCTTGCAACGACGCGGCACTGCTGCTGCTTGTGGGCTACGCGGCGTTCCTTCGCACGATGGAGTTGCTGAGCCTGCGCCGGTGGCACTTTCAGTTCACGAACGATGGGCTCAGTATGATCATCGCGCTGCCAGTCGCAAAGTCAGGGCATCGGCGTCACTGTGAGGAGTCGGTGGCGCTTCACGACCCGCGACTGGTGAGGTTCGTGCGGCATTTCCTCGACAGGTTGCCGCTCGACGAGCTCATCCTCAGGTCCTCCGTGGAGGACTTCAGGCGGGTCTTCAGGGAGCTCATTTCCAGCTGGGGGCTCGAGCGCCACCAGTGCGTGCCGCGCTCCCTGCGCCGCGGCGGCGCGACGATGCATTACCGTCGCTACAACGACATGGGCCGCGGGCTCATCATGGGCTGGTGGCAGGATGCCGCCGTGGCGCGGCTCTACATGTCGGACGGGCTGCAGAGTTTGCTGCAGAACTCGTTCGGCCCGCTGGAGCTGGACCGCCTCCGCCGCCTGGCGGCGGCCCCTGATCATGATGCGCGATGAAAAGAGAGGGAGAGAAAGAGAGAGAGAGAGATAGAGAAAATCATAGAGAGCGCAGGAGGTTACACTGCCGTGATTCACAGCTTCGCTGTCAGCATTTTCCCGACCCTCCCTTCCCAGGATTAAAGATGGTAAACCAGAGTGGGGTGCATGGAAGGGGGAGGCTCCCTTGGGGAGGGTTCGGACTCATGGTCGCGCTGCCGCTCCCTCCTAAGGGTTCGGACTCGCGTTCACGCTGCCGCCCTCTCCTCAGGGGTTCGGTCTCGTGTTCGTGCTGCCGCTCCTGGGGTCCACTCCGGGGGTTCGGACTCGCGTTCGCACTGCCGCCCCTTCAGGGCGCGGGGTCCCTCGGGGTCGGGGGGTCTCGCGCTGGCAGCCCCCCCTTGCGCACAAGACTCTGGTAAGGATTGAGACGTGAAAAGAGAGGGGGCGAGGAGGCAGGTCGGATATACATAGATATGTATATGTATATGTATATGTATATGTAGATGTATATGTATATGTATATGTATATGTATATGTATATGTATATGTATATGTATATGTATATGTATATGTATATGTATATGTATATGTATATGTATATGTATATGTATATGTATATGTATGCATGCATGTATGTATGTATGTATGTATGTATGTATGTATGTTGTGTATATATATATATATATATATATATATATATACATATATATATATATATATATATATTGCGTTCGTGCTTTTCGAAGGAAGGGGCGCCGCCCAGGTGTGGAGTGAGAGACTGGGGTTATTGTTTCGGCAGACCTTCGGGTGACACGGCAGCATCGTGCGGCAGTGGCTGGCACCCTCACGACTTGGGTGGCGGATCAGCGCTGTGATCGCACGGACCAGCGAATAATGCCGCCACAGGTCGTTCAGCGTGGCTGTTGATCTCTGCGTGTAGATGCCGATGTTGCTAGTCACTCCTAGCATAACGATCCTCCTCTCCTCTCTCTCTCTCTCTTTATCCTGTTTTCTCCTCCCTCCTTCCCTCCTCCCTCATTCCCTCCCTCCCTCCCCTCTTCTTCCGTTCTTATCCCTTGCGGGTATCTCCTCCCGGTCGCGCCCCCTGACGTGTCGGTCGGGCGGGCCCGTGCGTTTCGCCAAAGATTTCTTCACTATTTTTGATCCTGAAGCTTGGCATTCGCAACAGTTGCACGGATTGAACACGAGTGTTCTTTTCAAAACATAGGTTCTCTCCGTTGCGCCGCGCGCATTCGTTTTCAATGTTTGCAGCAATTACAAGGATAGAGCACAGGCTACTTTCAAGATTTTGTTGTCACATTAGCGCAGCACTTGTAAGTTTGGAGTGCTGGTCGCTTTCAAAATTGAGCTCTCGTCTTAGCGCCGCAGACGTTCGTCTTTACAGCTTGCAACTTACAAGGATGAGACACAGGTCTTTTTCAAAGTAGGACTCTCGCTTGGGCGCCGTGCGCATTCGTATTAAACGTTTGCACCACTTCCAACGATAGATGGTGGTGCGTTGTCAGAGTAAAGTTTTGCGTGGGAGTTCCTTCAATGCAGCCGCCCAAGGATTTCAACGTATGAAATAGCGGCACGGAGTGAGGATGGTTCCTTTTCAGATTGGGGCTCTCGCTTGAGTCTGCCTTGGAGCTCATGGCCAAGCACTCATATTGTGCAACGGTTACGCGGATGGGGGGTGCCCATCTTTCAATACGGGGATCCCGTTGGATACTTCGTTAAATCGTATGATCACACCTTTTCTGGCGATTCGCACACACGAGGTTACTACAAGCAGGACCGCTCAACATGTACACGAGGATACGTGGGGGTAGTGCAGTAAGCTTATACGATTCGCAAAGGACTTGGCTATGGTGCCCCGAAGCGCGTGAGGGGTAGCTGGGACACGGTCGGGAGGCGGTATGCGAACGCTGCTGCTGGGGCTTTCGGTGGAGGTGTGTGCTGGCATGGTCGGGGGGCGGTATGCGAACGCTGCTACTGGGGCCTTCGGTGGGGCTCCCTGGGGGCCCCCTAACGTGTGAGTGGAGTGCCGGCATGGTCGGGTTGCAGTATGCGAGCGTTGGCGTTGGGGCCTTCGGTGGAGCTCCCTGGGGGCCACGAAGCGTGTGAGGGGTGTGCCGAAATGGTCGGGAGGTGGTATGCGAACGCTGCCATTGGGGCCTTCGGTGGGGCTCCCTGGTGGCCACGAAACGTGTGAGGGGTGTACCGAGATGGTCGGGTTGCAGTATGCGAGCGCTGGCGCTGGGGCCTTCGGTGGAGCTCCCTAGGGACAACGAAACGTGTGATGAGGTATGCCGAAATAGTCGGAGGGGGGTATGCGAACGCTGGCGCTGGGACCTTCGGTGGAGCTCCCCATGTGGCCACGCAGCGTGTGAGGGGTGTGCCGAAATGGTCGGGGGGCAGTATGTGAACGCTGGCGCTGGGGCCTTCGGTGGAGCTCCCTGGGGACCACGAAATGTGTGAGGGGTGTGCCGAAATGGTCGGGGGGCGGTATGCAAACGTTGCCATTGGTGCGTTTGGTGGAGCTCCCTGGGGACCACGACATGTGTGAGGGGTGTGCCGAAATTGTCGGGGGCGGTATGCAAACGCTGCCACTGGTGCCTTTGGTGGATCTCCCTGGGGCCACGAAGCGTGTGAGGGGTGTGCCGAAATGGTCGGGGGGCGGTATGCGAACGCTGCCACTGGGGCCTTCGGTGGAGCTCCCCAGGGGCCACCATATGTGTGAGGGCTGTAGCGAGACGGTGATGATAATGCTAATGGTTGTGGTGGTGATGGGAAGAGGGAAGAGGAGGATCAGGAAGTGGAGGGAGGAGTGATGATGATAATGATAATGATAATGATGATGATAATGATGATGATGCTGCTGCTGATGATGCTGATGACGATGTTAACGATGACGACGAGGAGGAGTGATGCTGCTGCTGATGATGCTGCTGATGATGATGATGAGGATGATGATGATGATGGTGGTGGTGATGATGCTGATGATGCTGCTGCTGATGATGATGATGCTGATGAGGAGAAGGAGGAGAAGGAGGAGAAGGAGGAGAAGGAGGAGAAGGAGGAGAAGGAGGAGGAGCAGGAGGAGGAGGAGGTGGAGGAGGAGGAGGAGCGGAGACGCGCGGCGCTGCGGATTCAAAATGAGGACCCAATTCCACAGGAGGGTTTGGACAAATTGCAATCGGTTGTTCATCGCTCGAAGAATGCACAGCGATTCCTTTCAAAATGGGCCTCTCGCCTAAATGGCAGGCCCATAAGATGTGGGCTGGTCTTTCAAGGGGGCGCTTCTTGCAGTGACAGGGACGGCCTGCAGAGACTTGTGAGGATGATCCGCTGCTCCTCTGTCAGCATGTGCGGGAGGGTGTCCTGCAGCATCGCTGATGCATCTTGGACTGATTATGGTTCTCCTCCTCCTCTCCCGTGTCTCTTCTGTCTCCTCCTCCCCTTCCTCCTCCTTCCTTCTCGAGGAGCTGCTGTTCCTCACCCACAACGCCATCGAGAGGCTGCCGCCCATCCGGAAGGTGGACGCCTTCGGCCGGAGTTGCAAGAGGCTCAAGAGGCTGCGGGGCAGGAAGGTCGCAGAGGAAGGTGATACATTGTAGTAGGAGGGTGAGGCGAAGAAAGATGACGATGAGGAGGTGAACGATGAGGACGAGGGGGATCCGAAGGAGGAGGTCGACGAAGGAGGAGGAGGCGAAGGAGGAGGAGGCGGAAGAGGAGGACGAGGAGGAGGCGGAGGAGGAGGTGGAGGAGGAGCAGGAGCAGGAGCAGGAGCAGGAGCATCAGGAGGAGGAGGAGGCGGAGGAGGAGGAGGAGGAGGAGGACGAGGACTGGTGGAACCCCCAGAGTCATCAACGATGTTGGCATACACCCTCCCTCCAAGATCTCTCTTCATAGGCCCCTACAACGGTTCATTTCCACTGAAGGAACTGC